TGAGAGATTCTTAACAACGGGGCTAAAAAATTTATTTGAACTGTAAAGGTTTTTAAATTATAAAAAGTGAAACGTAAAGGTTTCTTATACACATTTCACGGTGAACATATATATATATATATATATATATATATATATATATATATATATATATATATATATATATATATATATATATATATATATATATATATATATATATATATATATATATATATATATATATATATATATATATATATATATATATATATATATATATATATATATATATATATATATATATATATATATATATATATATATATATATATATATATATATATATATATATATATATATATATATATATATATATATATTATATATATATATATATATATATATATATATATATATATATATATATATATATATGAATATAAGAGAAATGTATTTTACCTTTTTAGCGCCAAATCTTCGAAGTAGCTGTTAATGTAAAAAGTTATAACTATAATTTTCTATAAAACTTAATAATATTGTTTAATAATAAAGCCTCTAATTTTAACAATTTTTAGTAAAATAAGTAACAAAACAAGCATACATAAATAATGAAAAATCAATTTGTACCTTAGGCAATAATGTAACACTTCCAGCAACTTCTATAACACTAGCTATCATTAGCAGTAAACCAATCTGTGAGCTATTCATTGCTAACCCTCCTTAAAATAAGGTAAAACAATGTGATTTTAAGAAAAAAAGTTAAAAAATTGTTGAGATCCTGTTTTATTTGCATATTGAATTAAAATATGTTGGCATTTAAAGACTCTCTGTGTAATTTTATGTGCTAGCAAATAAATCGACAACTTATTTTAAGTTGAGAGAATAATGTAATTTTAAAAAATTTTACAAGATTCTTTGGGGATGCTACTTTAAAAGATGTAGATCATTGCCAACTTTTTTAGGATAAGCAATTATATTTAAAGGTCTTCTTCTAATGTAAGTAAACAAACTCTATAAAAGCATACTGTTGAAGAACTATACAAATAACTAATTATAAAAATTAATTTAATAAAAAAGAAAAAAAAAGATTGAGATGTGATATATGAGATTTTGAGAGTGAAAAGTTTTGAAAGGTTTTGGCGTCTTACTATTTGACAACCTTTCATTAGAGAATAATGCAATGGTAAATCAGTAGTACTTGTAATAAAAGCGTAAGTTTCTTTTCATTTAGAATTGAAATTGCAATTTTTATCTGAAATAATTGCTACTTTTTTTTTACTAATTCTTTTACCCATGTTAGAGTATAGTCAGGGCCGGTGCATATGCAATGCGAGATATGTGGTCGTATAGGGCGCCAGCATAAAAATATAATTTTAGCGTCCTTGTTGTGCGTATTTACTGAGTTGTTTATACATAAGTGGTGCCAAAGTTTATATGCTAAACTATTGATTTTTTAGTTATAGTTAGTTAACTGTTTAATAAAATGAGTTTAATAGTCATGTTTCTTTTATATAAAATGCGCATCAGATGTAGAGAAGAAAAAACTGGCAAAGACATTGTTTAAATTTTTCTACATAGTTGTGTGCAAATTTTGTCACATACTTTTGCTGTATTTAGCCTGTCCTTACCTGATTGCTGAACTGACTGTCCTGACCTAAGGCTGAACTGACCGGCAACATTATTTAAATAGTTTTATATCTTATTTTAACATAATTCTAATCAATATCAAACAATTATATTGTCTAGTCCATCAAATACCATACGTACCGATATCAAAATACCAGAATTATAGACCTTTTTTTAAACTACCGAAATAAGGGTATTGTTTTTGCTGAATACCGGTATTAAAAGTATATATGCATAGACTTGTGATGAAGTGAGAACAATGCTTTCTTCACACAAAAATTGCCCATAAATAGATTGTTTAATGCGTCAAGGCACAGTAAATAATGCTCGTTCAGCTTGTAATGAGAGAATAAAACCATGGTTGCTCAACATTTTGGGAGGGAGAAAATGAAAAGTTGTTTAATAAATTTTTAATAAAAAATTATTAAAAAAATTATTAGTTAAAGATAAAATTTATCACTCGCTTTAATGTAAAACACATTTTTAAGTTTCGCACTTACGTAAGGAATAAAAAGTTAAAGTTGTAATAGCTGATTTCTGTAATAAAACTACTAATAAATTTGTATTACTAATTTAATAGAATAACTACTTTGACCACATTTGGAAGTCAAACAAAATCAGAGAAACTTTAATATCTAAGTTCAATAACCTTCTATCGGATAAGTTGGAATATAGTTTGACATTTGATTAATGAACGTGAAATGAAAAATGCAGGTAATTAAATGTAAACATTCACTACAAGGACAAAATATAGAGCCGTGAATTAGCTATAGTTATTGGTTTAATGCCAGCTGATAAACGCATTGATTTAGTTCAAAAATTCTTGACACAGTTTATGTTGAACTAAGATGAAGACATTTTATGTATTACTACTGATGGAGCTATCTTAATGCAACAAGTGGGAAGTTAAAGTATTGTGATCAACAGTTGTGCATGGCATTCTGATTGTTTAAGACGTATTATACTGAATGATACAAAAAACTTTCAACTTCTGCAAAAAAGCTTTAAAGTAATTCACAATTACATCAAAGATAATGAAAGTGACAAGTATAGAATCACTGACAATTACACAAACAATACCAATGATGATGAAGAATATTCAAGCGAGTTTCTAGATTTAATCAGTGAGAAGGATAACTTTATTAAACTGACTTATCCCTAAGGCACGCACTATTGTTAAATTGCTTAGCTGTTTTCCAAGATAAAATAATCATATGCTATAAACAAATTTATTTAGGGTCTTACACTAATACTTGACTGCAAGTTGTTGATCGACCTTGACTCCAAAATTGAGAAAACTAATAAGAAGGTTAATGCAATTTTAGCTGTTGTTTCATGTTTTGCGCAACTAAAATTGGCTGTGGAAGAATAGTGCTGAAGTGATGCAACACTGTTAATACCCGATACCGCACAAATGTTCATGGTGGGCAACTTTAAAGACACATATTTAGCTGTTGTTGAAAAAAAAAATCACATCACTTAAAAATGTTGATATAGATGTTACCAACTTTATCAATAACCGTGCAACCAATGAAGCTCTAAAGAAAGATTGTTGATGCGATATGATAAATGCAAAAATGAATATAAAGAACGATTTGATAAAAAATGGGAGAAAAAAGTTCTTTCTACTAAATCAGCTTTTGATAAAGATTGTCAATATCTCAATTCAAGAAACTCTAGATTTAACTATCAAAAAGAAAAAGAAAAAGAAAAAAATAATTCTGCAAGTTTTGCTCAACATTTTAGGAAAATAATAGATAGCGCACCTTCAAAAAACTGGAGAAGCACAATCCCAAGAATATACAACCTAAGGTCATCAAATTATCCACCAAACACCTGACCACTTTCCAAATTTCTCTTCTAGAAAAGGTCCTAAAATCTGCCCAACTGCTAAAGATATATTCTTATACAATAAATCATATATTAAACAATTCACTCGAAAACTTAAGTTAGAAGAAAAATGTTATGAAACCTAAAATAATGATATTAGTATTGTAAAGAAGAAATCCAATTATAATGTTAAAACAACTCTTCCAGAGCTTAATGAAATAATTTTGAAAATTAAACAAGTAGATCCCATTAGACATCTATCAGTTGATAATATTTCATCGCAAGAAAGAAAAGCTCTTAAAGAGCTTAAAGAAATAAAAGATGTTGTAATTAAAAAAGCAGAAAAAGGTAGCTTTTTTATTTTGATGAACTCTGAATATCAAAACTCTAAAACTCAAATTCTGATAAACTATTTTTTTATAATATTTTAAAAATGATTAATAAATATAAACGCCTAACACAAAACGAGATTACATTACAAAATTTGAATGGAGTTTAATGTAATTTCTAAAATTCACAAATAAATAAATAATCACAAAAAAATCAAACTCCCTATTTATTGAAATATAACCACCAAACGATCTAAAAGGACCTATTATTGTAAGAACTGACTCACCTACTTCACACTTAAGCCAATTTCTACACTTAATTCTATCTTCTATTGTACGAAAACAAAAAACTTATATAAAAGATGATTGGAATTTTTTAAGAAAAGTTGCAAGAAAAGTAGATTTAGATAGTGTTATACTAAAGTGTGACATTGTTAATATTTTCACCACGATTCCTCTAGACCTTGGTTAAGAAGCATTAAAATTCTAGGTTGAAAAACATAAAAATATAATACCTGAGCGAATTACTATCAATTATATTATAGAATCAGCATCCTTTATTTTAAAAAGCAATAATTCCCTCTTCAATAACCAATTATTTCACCAAATTACAAACACAGCCATGGGCACAGACTACGCATGGTTTTCGATAGGATTTTAAGAAGAAACTTAACTTTTTCCAAAAATTTTACCAAGGTTTTTTTAAAATGACAAAGTTCAAAATATTGAACAATTTTAATATAGATCTGTCGATGATGGTTTTAACATATGGCCTAAACATCTAGATATAGAAAAATTTAGGTTACTTATAATATAAATCACTCGCTGAATTAAACAAGTTAATTACCTTTACAATTGAATGTGGCGTTAAATTAATTGAAAAAGAAAATATTTATAATATAATTAACTTTTGAGACATTTCTGTTATTACTTCAAAATTACAAATATATCAAAACGGATATATTTTATAAAGAAACTAACGTTCAAGATTATTTAAATTTTAATAGTCATTATCCTTACCATACCAAAAAAAAACATTCCCTTTAATCTTGCAAAAATAATAATCGTGTTTACATCTAATTATACCACAGAAAAATTACGTTTAGCAGAGCTAAAGTTATGGCTGAGAAAATGCAATTACCCGGACAATGTTTTTGAAAAAGCATTTCATAATGCAAAACTGCAAGGACCAGCTCAACAAAAAAAAGCTTAAGAAACCTTTCCTTTAGTGACTACATTTTACAGTAATATAAACTGCGAGCCTATACTAAGTAGAACTTATCTTCTATTCAGTCCTCTAGTGAAAGAATACAACAAATCTAATATTAACGCTGTAATAGCTTAAAAATAGCTATTTTCCACGTAGGAATAAGATTTAAAAATCCCTTTTTTTTTTTTTTCATTTCTCAGATACGTTTAGAACATTTTGTGGCATTTGCTTTACTTTTGTATTTAAAGGGGTTTTTAAGTTTATACCGGCTATCTTCAAAGGTGTCCTCCATTAAACCAATATATTTTAAACCACTATCCTATGGTAATGTTTTTACATTGCCGACGTAAATTATATATTTACTTAAATACATACCATAAAAAGGACATTGTGAAGGTTGCCGGCAGTTGGGACGTTGTTTTGGAAACATTAGATAATACGTTTTTATTGTGTGGATTGATAATATTGGTAATGTTTGGGAGACAGCTCTCTCTGAATTTTAAATTAATCTTATTCAAAATTTTGCAAAACTTATTCATTTTTAGAAAATACTTTACAATTTGATTTTGAAATTTTTTTGTGACGTTAGTTTTTACATTTTATGTAAATGGAGGAATAAATCAAATAATGTTTTTTGTAATATTGATTTTGGTTTTGAAAAAGTGAGATTTTTTTGAAAAACAATCTTTTCATTATGCCCACTTGCTTTTTATAAAACGATGTT